CATTAGCACAAACTTTAGGTAGACTTCTACTTGAAGTATGTGCTGATGGTGAGAACAAAACCCCATCAAAATCATCCACTTGAGCTACAAATCTTCTTCATCGTATCAATATATTTGTTACTTTTGCAAAATTCCATGCATTCTGATAAGTTAACATGATGGATTAAGTTTCACCGTTATATAATAAATGTACTCAATAAAGTCAAACTGTACTTGACCTATTTTTATACAATTATTTTCTATGAAAAGATTTCAATAAATATGTGCTAGAAATGCTTCACTTTGACGCATGATCACAAATTTGTATGAGATTAGCCCTTTTAACAATGACACCATTACTATTCAAATACAAAGTATAACATTATGACCTTCCATCGCTGTTTACATAACAGGAGTAATGGAGAATGGGACAGTTTAAAGTAGTGAAGTGAAAAAAAAACTCAACACTAAATATTTACCATTTCTCATTTAGTTAGTACACATATATAAAATCATTAAGCGACATATCTGTTGTGTATAATGAAATTAAAATTAATTGAATGAACGTTTAAAGGAGAAGAATTTGAAATGATATAATGAGAAAAACGATTATGTCAGTTTCAATCGTAATAATTCAATGTGCAATATAGAGTGACGTAATAAAAAGAAAGTTATCAAGACTACATTTTATCTTTTTTTTTGCTTTCTCTTTTCATCTCTTAACTATTTCGTATGAAAGTTAATTTTTTTTTGAACGATTCGGTATTTATCTTGGTGGTTGTTATAAAACTCGTGCAGATTTTCTAATTTAATAAATTAGAAAAAAAAATACTAAACACTGAACACTTGAAAACGAATCGAATAATTTAGTGTAAATTAAAGTTAGGAGTGTTTTGTGATTTACCTTGTGTCAAAATTTTTTTTTTATATTTTAAAACAAACATCATTATGAATTTGAAAGAAGAATAAAATAGGGGGAACAGAGAGAGAGAGAGAGAGCAAGAGAATATGTGTAGTGCGTGATATATATTCACATGTATGCTATTTTAAACAAAACATATGGAAATAACAGGAATTGTTCGAAAGATAAGTCAATATCAGAGGACTATGTTACGCAACAATAACTCACTGATTAGATGGATGGCAAACTTAATGCTTAATAAATAAGGCATTCCAAATACACACGGTAGTTACATAACACATCCTAAGATCACTTAGAGAATCAATATGTATTGATGAGTATTCTTTTTTTTTTCCTAATTGACATGAAATGAAAGGTGCAGTTGACGCGAGTTAGCCGGAATTCACGGTAATAATTATGTTGATTATTATATATATATATATATATATATATATATTCATCCACAATTCGAAAGTATATGTATGTCATTTGTGTGAAACAATGAAATGCAATGAACAATGAATTAGTAGGAAACAAAACAAACAGTAATGTAGAGAAAAAATTAATCACAAAAAGGACGTTGATATCACTTAAGTAACAATAACAAACGATATATATATATACTCGATTCCATGTTAATTGTATCAAGCTCAATGCACATTTCAATAGCAATTTTACGGATTATATAATACTTGTCAAAGAAAATATTGAGGTAAATGATGAAATGAACGCTGTCAAAACTAAACAAAATACGAGTACAACAACACAAATGAAACGATGGTAGACTATTTGTGACGAATTCTTTTTATTATTTTTTTGTTTTATATCACAAAAACCCAAACAATCTCTGTTGCTCGACAGTGAGTATTCGAAAACCAACAATAATTAGACATAAGTATATATATATATATATAACATGTGTATGTGTATATCCAAAGCATTGATGGGTGAGGAGGGGGACGCGTTAACCTATATTTATAAATATCATTTAATTAAGTTGCCAATTTGTTGTAGTTTTCAGCTACGTATCTCACAATATAAACTAAAACGCCAACAAACAGCAGAAATATGTGTAGAAAGCTTCTAGCATAATGTGTTAAGAACATAATTCAAGAAGGACTGATTGTGTGTATAATTCTGTTTTGATAGTCATATATATATGCTGTCGATTATTGTTCAATAAAGAACTTTAATGAAAATCATTGAAGAATGAATTTAAGCATTTACTGTGATATTCATGTGTATCCGACAGCTGTTTTAACAGAAGATATCTTGACATGTACAATAATAGTACATCATGTTAATGGAGGTGAATTGTGACATTGATACTCACATATGATTTTCTTGTGTTTGTATGTCGGTGTGTTCTGTTCTTGTTTTGATTTTATTTCAAACAGATCGCCAATTTTTTAATACATGACGAAATGAATGAGTGATCCATTGATTTTCTAAGAGGGCAAATCGTTCAGCATTTAAGAATAATGGTTTCCCACGTCTGTAAAATAAAATGATATACCAAAAACACATATACATGTATCATATCTATACACAGGTTTCTATATTTATAGACGAAGTTAGAAACAGGTCACATATTAGAGAAAAGTTAGACAACAGAATTGTATTTTGATACGAATCGAAATTCATTTTAATTTACAATTTGAGTAAATGCATATACCTAATATGTATTTAAAAAAGTATAACGTAAACAAACTCGAATAAAAATTAACGGATAGTAAACACATACTACTACTAACAATAACAAAATTGAATATACTTCTACTATATTGTATCGATGTAAAAAGCCAATAAATTTTCCAAATTAATAACATAGATTGTAGTTGGAAATAGTAAATTTTTTGTGGTTAATCTTAATTAGTTTGTAGAAGCTCGTAATTAGATAACGACAAATGGAAAAGTAGGGGATTAACATTATTTTTTTCAAAAAGGTTACAAGGGAACAATGTGGTACATCACGGAACAAATTTAGTTAGGTAGACATTGAAAACTAGGACGTACTGAACAGTCGTTTTGTCCTAATATAAAACTCATATAGTGAAGATTTACACCGCCCCCCCACCCAGAGCGATGTTCGGTTGCTTTTTCTCTTCACAAAGATTTAGCGCGTGCAAATCTTTTGCTTAAATGCGAGTAATTAAGTCAAACACGTTGACGGCATTTGCAAACGTTCGCTTTATTGTTCGCATATGATGTCAATAAATTATAGTTAATACATTGATTCTACACAATTGATCAACACTTAACCGCTACTATTTATTCTTTCACCATTGTTCTCTTAATGTAACTTTTCGAATATGGGTATATCCAAACTTTTGATGGGAAATTTATGGGCTTCTAAACAATAAAATGACACATACCAACTTGAATAACTCAGGGTTAATGTCTTATGTTACTAGGCTGGGCTGACGCAGGACCATAGAATATTGCATGTATGACCTGCTGACGAGTGCTAATAAGTACGAAACATAGGTTTGGGTTCCATGCTGACTACACCTTCCTAGGACTTGACATATAGCTAGAGAACATAAACTGACGCCTATTACTATAATGAATGTCAGGAGCACTATTGTAATTTATGAATGAATGTCAAACCGATTTCCTGAATTAAATGAAACTTTTGCTACGGAAAATACACTATACTAAGAAGATAATCCGTTTCATGTAAAAGTTAACGATAGCAAAGAAAAGATAAGGACAAGATTTGTAGAATAATATAAATTTATCGTATTTCATGTATTCTTAACAGCTTCAAATGGCCGGTATTACCTCGTTACCAAAATTTTGATACACAGAGCATGAAATGAACGCATGACGCAAAATATAAGGTTTTATCTGTCTACACGAATAGCTTCAGATAATATTTCAAATAATACATCGCTTCTGTTATATTGCTGTTGTGTAACTAGACTGGCAGTGACGTATGCAGTACCGATAGTTATAGTATACAGTGATACAGTAATTGACTATTCATTAAGGTAATCAACTTTTAACCAAGATATCACAAGTTTGAACCTTGATCTATATACTGAGTTTTATGCACACGAGGTAGTTTTACTACTTATCGAATGAATAGTGTGACTCAATGTAGATTGTGTAAATTTTTAGCTGATAAAATTTATCATCTTCGTAGTTTACCGTATGCACTGGGTAACATATCAGAGAGCTATTCCACACTATAGTTATGATATAGATTACTGAACTTAAATAAACTAGGAAATTTATTACTTGTAACATTTAAAGCAAAATGGAAACTTACTTTAATTCTAAATCTTCTTCTCCATATTCATCTAAATAAACTGAACCCCAATCACAAATATTTGATCCAAGTGATACGTAAACAATGGAAGTGTTTACTTCAAGGACTACGCCAGAAAAACCACCACACATATAGGTATGCTTTAAGAAGAGCAAAAACATTCAATTTAATTGAACTGGGAATTGTTATGTAATAAGTTAATTACATATTTCACTGACTTAATTATATAATAAAAGGTAAACAATATCTAAAGCGTCACATAAAGTATTGTCAATGTACTCAAATATGACAAATGTGATAGATACTTAATCTTATCAGTGTAGCTTGACAAATGCTAATTTATGGTACTTTTAATTTACATTGAAACCGTTTTGAAATTATTATTATTATCATGACAACCAAGTAAATAAATGATACTGAAACACTGAAATGATTGAGTTGACGGAATCGATAATTTTGAGTGGGATCGTTGATACGATATATACCAATAGGGTTGAAAGAATAAAATATTTCACAATACAAAATCGTTGGGTAATACATGTACCGGAGATAACTACATTTACTTATAAGGCCAAGGGACAGTATTGTATGTTTTAAAGCGAAAGGTTTTTGCTTTTAGTTTCCGTGTAAATATCAACTGTGGGACACAGGTGCATCCAACTGACGACCCTTTCAAAAAGGGGAAAAACGCTACTATTCAAATTTACGAAAAGCTTTGCGCATAACGTTCACTAATATATGCATTGCCATCCATTTTAAAAATCCATTGAAATAATATGACGATTATTATATACTTATAAATAACATGTATGAAGTATTATATCAATTGTATATTGATTTTTTTAGACGACACAACAACAGCCTAGAAAACGAGAGTTTATTACTAATACACGATGAATTGGTTGAACCGTAACAACAAAGACAACGCTATAAACAAGTTGGGATTAAACGAACAAACTTCCATTTTTAAATACATTACCTTTAATAAAGCGCCTTACAGTCATATACACACACCCTTCACAAAAAAATCTGCTTGATCAATATTGTGTAAACTTGAAATAATATCCTCTTATTTTTGTACTTTTAAAAAGATGAAATTCACCGTTGAATGAGTTAATGCAAATGAATTATTAATTGTAAATTAAACATTTTGAAAAGTGTGAATACATATTTATTTACAGTTTTATATGCTCACTTAATAAGATATAAAGTATAAAAGTTATTGTATTTGTTATTCAATGCAAAATTGATTCGTCATTATTGCAATCGACTTTCAAGTGTTTCTGTTAAAAAAAACACATTTCATAAATATTTACTTATGCCTTTAAAAAAGTGGTAACAATCGTAACACATCCACTGAGCTACAAGTACAACAGTTAGCGAGACGATCTACATTTTGGAATTTTATTGAGATCACGAACTGATCTAAATTACATAACCATTGAAAACATGGAAGCAATGAACAGCTGTTCTGTCTAAGTGTTCAACTCCTAAGACCTACGAATCTGCAACTTCACTACCACCAATCGAAGCCGGAATCTTCAGTTTGGTGAGCGAACCCATAATGTCCAGATAAATGAGCCGAAAATTGTTAGATTTGCATTGAGCATTTTTCCCTCCTACAATAAGTGGCTAAATAAATAAATAAGTGAGATATAATCTCTCTCCACCGTTTCTAAACGCTGTCTGTATATACACCGAAAAATAAACGAGAGATAATAATCGCTTGCCACCACATTATTTTACTAAACCGAACAAAAAACATTGAACGCGATAGTCACTACGAAGTAATATTACCTGAAGTAGCAATGAATAGAAATATGCATCCTAATTTGATTTTTACTCGATATTTATAAACGAGATCAAACGGCATAAAACTAACACGAAATTTGAGTCGTGCAGCTAGAATTACATTAGTATTAGTGTTATAATAGTGTAGACAGTATCACACAACCGTCTAACCTTTTTAACGTTAGTTAATTTCTGATGTTAAAAAAATACTACACCTTATGTTTTCGGTTAAAGCTAAGTATTTTAATATACTTAGCCCCCCTGAATGCCCTGGTACGGCCGAGAGTGGGGAGAGTCCGCTCTCCCTCTCGAAATACTCTCACACGGCCACGCGTATACAGCCTCTGCCAGGGAAGTCCTACTCATTGCCTTCTCGTGGCGTTGGTGTTGTTCACGAAAATGAGAGGACGAAAAGCGAATGTCCGGCGCTTTAACCGGATTCCAAATCAATGGTGCACATGGGCTCCAGTATCCTGCGGGAACGAATGGCGTATGAACCAATCGTTGGTCACCGGCTACCATGGGACTGCATCTCCTTACGATGCTCCACTGCCTTGTGGGTTAGACCTTTAGGTCAAAGGCTCGGGGAGTGGCCCCCTAAGATAACCACCTGCTTCGGTTTGGGCACCCGGGCAGTATCACAGCCCACACACAAATTGATGAACTCTTTATGCCTATGGAAATTACCTTTCTCGCTTTGAAAAACAAACAATTGATTCAGATTATTATCATTACAATTATTGTCATTATTAATACTATTATTATTATTACTATTATTGTCATTTATTATTATTATTATTATTATTATTATTATTATTATTATTATTATTTTCCACATTATTCACCCTCTTTTATACTTATACAGCGGCTCGTCTTTGGTGGAAATTCGACTGTATCTAAACGTTCTCGAGTCACTGTCCGGTTGAAAATTGTATGTTACCACCGAATACGAGGACTGAAGCAGTTTTTCTGAAACCACGTGCACCATTCAAACTGGCTGCCTTCAACGTTCGCACATTTATGCAGGTCGGACAACAGATAGGGCTGGCTATGTCTTTGGAAAGTCTTAATATCGATGTTTGTTGTCTATCCGAGACCCGTATTCAAGACTCTGGCGAAGTACTACAAATTCGATCTCCATCTGTCGCTTCGAAAAGCTTGTTTTACGTGCGCTTATCCGGGGACCCTGTGGCATCTTCGTCTGGTCTTGCTGGCGTTGGTGTCGCACTAAGCGCTAGAGCTGAGGCAGCACTAGTCGATTGGATCCCCATTAACAGTCGGTTATGTGCTGTTAGATTAGAAAGTTCCATCAAAGTGAGAAGAAATCGGCGTGAGAAACGATGTCTTTTCGTCATCTCCGCCTATGCCCCGACAGATTGCAGCCCGGATGCAATCAAGGATGAGTTTTACCACCAGTTATCTGTTCTTCTCCAGAAAGTGCGTTCGACAGATATTGTAGTACTAGCCGGAGACTTGAATGCTCAGGTCGGGCGTCTAGGCACAGAAGAGAGTCGTTTAGGTGGCCGATGGGGACTCGTTGGTCGCAGGTCAGATAACGGGGACCGTCTACTGCAACTTTGCACAGACCACAACCTGTTTCTGGCTAGCACTAACTTTCGGCACAGTCATCGCCGATGTGCCACCTGGCGTCCTCCCTCTGCATCTCAAGCCTGGACTCAGATTGATCACATCGCGATCAGCTACCGCTGGCGTGGTTGTGTACAAGACTGCCGCTCCTTTTGGAGTACCTATCTGGACTCTGACCATGCCTTGGTCTGCGCCAATCTTGCCTTACTTTTCAGTGGACAACGAAGTGACCCCACCAACGGATTGATGTTAGCAAGCTGGTTGCAACTTCTGTTGCAAGTAAGTATCGAACCGAGCTAGCCTCTAGGCTAGCTACCACTCCACCGAAAAGTATAGATGAGCATTGGTTGCAATTGCATGACGCCATGAAAATGGCGGGAACAGTCAGTTGTGGGTTTGCGAAACGTCCCGCTTTAAGCACTGGGTTTCTTCTGGTTCCTTACAACTCATTGAAGCCCGTCGGTCTACTCCGGGTGACCGTGAGTTTGACCATAAACGAAGGATGTTACGTAAGGAAATTGGGCAAAGCTTGCGTAAGGACCGAGAAGCCTGGTGGTCGATGCGTGCTAATGAGCTGGAAGCAGCAGCTGCATCTGGTAACTACCGGAAGCTCTTCCAGCTCATCCGAGCCACTGGCAGCAAGAAGTCTGGTGTGAGTGAAACAATCTGCGAGGATGATGGGATGCCAATCACTAACATCCATCGACGTCTTGGACGATGGGCAGAATTTTTCGAAGGGCAGTTCAACTGGCCTGCTGCTCCGGCAACATCGGTCAGACTGTCCTGCCCTCCATGGCCGGTGACGACTGATCCACCAAATGAGGAGGAAGTCCGCAAGGAACTCCAACTCTTGAAGCGTTACAAATCACCTGGCCCAGATGACTTACCTCCGGCTCTTTTTAAAGATGGTGGTGACTTTTTGACTAAGGAATTGACGACGTTGTTTACAAAGGTTTGGGAACTAGAGAGTGTACCAACGTCATGGAATGAGTCGATAGTTGTCCCTATCTTTAAAAAGGGTTCACGTCGTTCCTGTAACAACTATCGGGGGATAAGTTTACTTCCGATTGCGTCCAAGCTATTGGCTTCCGTCATTCTTCGTAGGTTGTTCAAAACCCGAGAAAGATTGACTCGCGAGGAGCAGGCTGGGTTTCGTTCTGGTCGAGGATGTATTGATCATATCTTCACCCTCCGCCAAATGTTAGAACACCGCCATACTTTTCAAAGGCCAACAATCGTAGTGTTTCTTGACATCAGGGCTGCCTTCGATTCGTTGGACAGGACTGTTCTCTGGGATTGTCTATTGAAGAAGGGTGTGCCTGAGAAGTTTATTAACATCCTAAAAGCCCTATATAAAAACACCTCAGGCAGAGTGAGGGCATACAACCACCTCTCTCCATTGTTCCATTCGAGCAGTGGGGTTAGGCAGGGTTGCCCAATCTCACCATTCCTCTTCAACTTTGCCATCGATGACATTCTGGAAACAGCTCTGATGAATGTAAGTAATGGTGGTGTGGATCTGTTGCCTGGAGAAAGACTTCTCGACCTTGAGTATGCGGACGATATTGTCTTACTGTGCGATAATGCCCAAGGCATGCAATCCGCACTTAATCAGTTGGCAATCAGTGTCCGTAGGTATGGTATGTGCTTTGCACCTTCGAAGTGCAAAGTACTTCTACAAGACTGGCAGGATTCTAATCCTGTACTCACCCTGGATGGTGAGCAGATAGACGTAGTTGAGAAGTTCGTGTATCTGGGTAGCTGCATAAGTGCTGGTGGGGGTGTGAGTGATGAGATCAATGCACGAATAGTGAAAGCCAGAGCGGCTTATGCCAATCTGGGCCACCTTTGGCGCCTTCGTGATGTTAGTCTGGCTGTAAAAGGTCGGATCTACAACGCGTCGGTGAGAGCAGTTTTGCTCTATGCTTGTGAAACCTGGCCTCTCCGAGTTGAGGACGTTAGACGACTCTCTGTGTTCGATCATCGCTGTCTCCGAAGGATTGCTGACATTCAGTGGCAACACCATGTCAGTAATGCAGAGGTTCGGCATCGTGTGTTCGGGCACAGAGATGATAATCAATTGGTGTCACCATCTTGAAACACCGACTTCGGTGGCTTGGACATGTTCTCCGAATGTCGTCCCAGAGAATTCCACGTCGTGCATTATTTGCCGACTCTGGGACTGGTTGGAAGAAGCGGAGAGGTGGTCAGTGCATGACATGGTGTCGTGGCATGAAAGAAAGCTGCAAAGGACTGGCTTGTGTTGGTCCTTCACGACTCCCTGGTTGGGGTCTGAGAGATGGTGCTACACAGTGGCTAGAGACGTTATCAGATATGGCTCAGAATAGAAGCCAGTGGCGATCCTGCTGTAACCTTCTTTTACTTTCTTCATAAAAAGTGGTTGTGTCTCCTTTACCTGAAAGATTTCTTCTGATTGTACCTTTTCGTTCCGTCGTTACTACCACACTACCTTACTCCAATCTCTTCGTCATTGTTCTCTTTTTCTTTTGCGTTCCTTAGTTTTTTTTTCTATTTCTCTTCGAATTCTCATTGTTTTGTGTGGCGCATATATATTGGCGCTCTCTTGTACCAATATTCATGTGTTCAAATAAATAAATAAGTATTTTAATGTAGACATGGTTGAATATATATTACTAATAACAACCTCTCATAAGAAATTTAAAATTTATCGCCACACCAGTAATTAACAGAATTTCAGATTATTACAAGTCTCCACAACCTTATAAGTTTACACATTATTATTATTCATATAAATGGTAATTTTAATTGTTAATCAGCGAAGCTGATAACATATTACAAATCATATTTCGT